GAGGAATTGAACAGGCAGTACACCTTTGTGGATTACAACTTCTCCCTTGTGGCGATGGCGGTCATCGAGAGGGTGCCGGCGGGCAGCGTCCCTCTGCTGGGTGTGAAATTGGAGCATTCTAATCGCAGGGGGTTTATTGGGCTGTCTTGCACCGCGGAGGGGAAGTGGGAGGTGTCGTTATACGGCAATACAACGACATCGAGCAGCACGTGGGAGCCGGGGAGAGAATACCAGGTGGCGATCATGCTGCGGGACAACAGAGGCTCCGTGTACTTGGATGGCGTTGTGGTGGCGAGCTCCGAGACGATGCCAACTCTTGAGACGCGGTTTATTCAACTCTCGGAGTTCTACTTTGGGGGCGACGAAGGTGACCGAGGCAGCAGCGTGGAGGTGAAGAACGTTTTGCTGTACAAGCGCATATTAACTGCTGCCGAGCTAAGAACCATACAATGGAGTGCCTCCTCCTCAAGTGGAAGTGGACCCGACACCTCGATGCGTGGGACTATGCCTTGGCTGCTGCTGCTGGGGCTGTGGGGCTTTGCGGCCCTTTACGGAGTGTAACAGAGTGGGGCCATTGCCACGAGCAGGAACACATGCATCTTTACGCGCACACTCTCTGGATTACTTGGCGTATCACGTGGATGCTGTTGATTTTATTTTATGCTTCTTTTTTTTTTGTGCGAGACAATATATATATATTTTTATTGAGCGTTTTTTTATTTTTATTTACTTTTATTTTTGTGCCAGCGCCGCGGTTTTCCTTATTTTTTATTTTATTTTCTTTCTTTATTTATTTATTTTGTGGTGGAGCCTTCTGGGGGGGTGGCGGGGTCTATTCACTGTTTCCGTCCACCGACCACCGACGCTCTTGGCATTTCCTGCCACGCCGGTGGCGCCGGTGGAAAAATAAAATACAAGAAATTGTCATCAACAGTAAAAGGGACGCACGGAGCGTCCCCAGTGGAACATAAATGACGCGTGGACGCCGGGGGGCTGAAGCGACGGGGACGAGTATGTCTTATTTCTAAATCTCCTGCAGGAAAACAAAGAAAAAAGAGACAACAAAAAAAACAGACATAACGCTTTGAAGCACCAGAAAAAAGATTTTCTGCGGAAAAGCTGCTTGCTTGATTCATTTGTTTGTGCTTCTGTGTGTGCGGGAGAAAATAACGGTTCCACGAAGAGCGTTCTCCTTTGGAAAAAAAAAAAGGGAAATAAATCTCCTGTCATTTCCCACCGCTTGGGCTGCATTGCCGTCTTGGGTCCCGTCAGTCTTCTTCTTGTGTTTTTTTTGTCCTGCTTCTCTGCTGTGTTCTTTTGTTTTGTGGCTTCACGTGTTTTACTCCTCTCTTCCTTTGCGTACTTGCAGGCACACACGAACACACGCACGCGGTGTGCGTACTGCAGTGCACCTGGATGGTCCTTTAGTGCTCTGTGCCGGCAGTTGCATGCGGGTACTGCTTTTCTTCCGTGACCGTCGC